AAGAGCCAGCGCTGTCCAAAGATGTCTCCGTGGTCATGTGGCCGGCATGACTAAACACCGAAGGCGCATGGAACACTGTTACTTTCCCACCAAAGGTGGTCCCTATTTTTTTACTTGCATGTATACGTGCTTTCGAACTGCTAGGTGGGCAGAAGCTGGGACAAGTAACGGGAGCTCACTCCGTTATGCGGTGCTAGGGGTTTGAACCGCCGAACTGCTGACCTTTCTGATTGACAAGCTCAGCGTCTTAGCCACTGAGCCACCACATCCCTTCAAAAAAAAAAAAAATGATTATCACATACCAAAAAGGAAGAGAAGGCAAAAATGACTTGTCCTACATGAAGGGGACACCACCCATTTAATGCTCTGTGATGAAGAAAATGTGAAACCCCTATAGATTCTATGGGGAAGAAGAGACTCTGTTCTCTGCTGATCACCAATGGGCTGGGTAATAATAGACTTTTGCTGTGTGACAGCCTCTTTTTGTTATTTTTGGAGAGGGCAATGCTCAGTCTGGCATTTTCAGCAGTAAATATTCTAGACCACTTTGTTGCACTAGAGACACAGATTACCTGGACACTTTGGACAGCATTTTGTGGGTTCAAATACTTGGTTGGAACATCGCAAGGTTGCACACTTGACTTTCATACACAGCACGTTCCCCCCCTGAAGAAATCAAAGTAAAGAAACAGACCTTCCGTAAATACATTTTGTCATGCCTGCAAGCCATCTTTTCTTTTGGACTTCAGGCCTGCCACACTTTCTACTGCCTACTTTCTATTGTGGGAAAATGGGGGGTTTTACACGGTGTTGGGTGATAGGTAGCCATAACAACATTCTTCCTAGAAACTCAAGGTCATCTTTGTCTCTGCACCTGGCTGGAACTGGATGGGTGGAATCTGTCTTCGTGGCAGTGGAAGATTGGACCATGTGATGAACCTGTGGGTGTTGGGGCAGGATCTTGAACTTTCAACTGGGGGTGGGGGGTGGGGAACCTGGAAGCTTTCAGATTCGGGTTTTCCCAGATGTGCAACATGGCTCTCTTAATAAATTGGAACTTTGAGAAATCCTTTGCCTCAGATTCTGATTTAATTTTGGATGCTATTTGGAAGCTTGACACAGCTAGCATGCAAAGTGGTTGTTTTATTTGAGCACCGGGGGACTTCAGAACAAAGAATTGCACCTCCAGTGCCAAAAATGCTTCTTTCTGCTGGTGGCTCCTGCTTCTGAAGACCCTTGCTCACTGGATGTTGACTACGATCGGCTTTGATAGGCTCGGTCATTCATGTTATAATTGCTACCTCTCTGCAGTTAAATGCAGGTGGTCCTCAACTTACGACCTTGTGAAGTGAATTGCTGCAGTTGTAGCAACATGATTGTTAAGTAACATTGAATTTCCACACACACCCCGCCCCCGTTGACTTGTCAGAATTTGCAAAACGTGATCATACGACTCCGGGATGCTGTAACCATCGTAAATACGAACCAGTTGCCAAGCATCCAAATTCTGATCATGTGACATGAGGATGTCGCAATGGTTGTGTGAAAAACAGCCATAAATCACTTTTTTTCAGTGCTGTGCTAACACCGAACAGTCACTAAATGAATGGTTGTAAGTCGAGGACTCTGCAATGGAAAGGAATGGTGCAATGAATGAATGTAGGTCAAACTCATACAGATTGGAACAAAAGCTTAGCTGTCCCTTCATGAAAAGCCTCTTGATGGTGAACTGCACTCATCCCACTAGTTGTGGTCCACCGGTGGCCTGAGGAGCTGGCTACAGTCAGACAGTGAGGAGGTTGGGGAGGAACATGGGCCAATCTTAGAGTCTGGGAAAGGCTCGGACAAGGGCTCTGCGTCAGAGGCAAAGAAGGGGCCAGGACCCTCTGACAGTTATCAGCTGCCTCCGGAATCTCTGGAGTCTGACATCAGCAAGGCAGAAAAACAATGGGAGCCTGTTCCCAGTGTGTACATGCACAGAGCTGCCTGAGGGCAAGAACAATTAAGGTAAGAATGGAGACTTGGGAGTAAGACGTGGAGATGATTGCCCCCTCCCATAAGACATAAAGGAGGAGCAAAGGCACATGAGCCTTTGCAGGAAGCAATTTGTTCATCTAGTCCAGTGGGTCTCAACCTTCCTAATGCCATGACCCTTTAATACAGTTCCTCATGTTGTAGTGACCCCCAACCATAAAATTATTTTATTATTCTGTATTTTTTTGAAAATATGTGGTTTTCCAATGGTCTTAGGTGACCCCCGTGAAAGGGTCATTCGACCCCCAAAGGGATCGCAACCCACAGGTTAAGAACCGCTGATCTAGTTGGTTCATGCCTGAGACATGCTCTGTTTGACACTGTGCTCCATTTGGGCTTGCAAAACTAATTGGCAATTAGGTCTCTGGCAGCGTTTCAAGGGAGATGAAGGTGGGTGCTTATTCAAATTACCCTGAAAGACTGCGGCAACTCGAGCAGACATCTGTCGGACTCTTCACAGACTGTTTGTGAATCCTTATGGGCTGTGAATGACCATAATTCACAGCCGTTTAAATAAAAGACTGTTTTGGGGACTAAGATTGTGATTTATGCTTTCTCGGGAAGCCTAGGTCAGAACAGGCCTTTTACTCCTCTGGAATGGACACCCTTCCCTCCTGGAAATCCACCTCTTCACTACATCCAATCCCATTACCTCTGTGCAGCGACACTCGAGGCAGGGAACAAGTCCATGGGGTTCAAGGTAAGGATTCCATCTTTGTCCTATTTGATACTTCTTAGCTTGAAACATGCAGTAGGTTTCCGAATCTGCCAAAAAGAAAAGAGAGAGAGAGAGAGAAATTGTGAACTGGTGACCAAGAGCAACAAGAGTCCTCGACTTACAACACTTCGTTTAGTGGACCTTCCAAAGTTACAATGGCGTCCCTCTTGGAGGGAGAGGTAATTCAAAAAATACTAGACTGTGCAGAAACGAACAGATTAACGTTGGCAATTAAAGAGAAGGAAGAATCGGAGTATTATAAGATAGGGGGATGTTTTTATCCCTGGATAGAAAAGAAATATAGACAAAAAGAAACAGAAAATTGAATAATTTGGAAAGGAACGTAGAATTATAGGGGAGGAGTTGAATTAAAAGGCAATTGAAATTGAAATGCAAAGGTAAGATAAAAATAGATTAAAAATTATATAACTGTTAAATATGATGACACAAAGATTGTACTCAGATGACACACTGTAAGATTAATGATGTAAGAGTGGTTATGGAAAAATGAAAAAATAAAAATGCTTCTCAAAAAAAGTTACAATGGTACTGAAAAAAAGTGACTTATGAATGTTTTTCGTACTTATAACTGTTGCATGTGAACATGATCAAAATTCAAACATTTGGCAACTGGTTCATATTTATGACCGTCGCTTTGTCCCAAGGTCATGCCATCACCTTTTGCAAACAAGCAAAGTCAATGGGGAAGCCAGATTCACTTAACAACCAGGTTACTAGTTAACAACTATAGTGATTCACTTAATGTGGTAAGAAAGGTTGTAAAATGGGGCACAACTCACTTAACAACTGTCTCATTTAGCAACAGAAAGTTTTGGCTCAATTGTGGTCATACGTTGAGAACTCCCTGTGTTTAATTTCTGTAGAAAAGATGTACATCATTATTGTAGTTAACATAGATGGGACTGTTACTATTTTATGTCTAATCATGCTGGGATGTTTGTTTGCCTGCTTCATGAGACATTCAACTCTGTATCTTCTTACCAGATTTCTCCAAATGGGCACCACTGATTGACTCATTAGCTTGATTATAAGATTTGCAAAATTCTGCCCGGCATAAGCACCTCTTCTAGCAACATGTATGTTAAAAATTTAGTGAATCCCGATTTACTGAATTTTATAAAGTTAGTTCTCTTTTGACAAGTGTTAAGCTGAACGCCCCTAAATCCTGTTCGTATTGAGGTCACACATAGTTGGAAACACAGCTCCTTGCTTCACATCTTGGCTTGCTCTTTAATCTCAGTTTGGCTGAAAGAGACCAGTTTCCTGAATCTGATGAGACCTCTGGATGATTCTTAAACCTGTTCTGACCGAGGCTTCTCAAGAGCATGAAGCAAACTCCTGATCCCAACAAAACCCCCTTTTATTAGCTTACTGTGAATGCTGCTCATTCACATACAGGAAATAGGTATGTGAATACATACTGTATTTGTATTCATATACATATTTGTATGTGAATACAAATTCAGGGAGGATTTACAGTCACAGACCTTATCTGGCTTGGAGAGCTGCCAGGCCGATGTCTGCAAAACTTGGCCAGGAGTTTCGGAGAGTCACGAACCAATTAAGTGAACTGTCTCCTGCAAACTCCACTCCCTTTTTGCTCCTCTTTTATTTCCTCTGGGAGGGGCCATTCATTGTCCACCTGTGGCCTT